ATCGATAATTTTTAATGCACTTGTCATATTAGATACTACTGATAATATGCACAGGTTTGAATGGTAAAACTCACATGCGTCACTAGCGCAAACATGTATCTTTCCGGTACTACATACGGGTCCTAAAAATAGTGGAACCACTGCGATTGAACCCGTCCGACAACGCACTAGAGTACCGTTGCGTGTAAAGGGCATGCAACTTTCCTTACCCTTACCTTTTGTTCTTAACTTTAATTGTGGTGAGAAAACAACTCTCGGCTTTCGGATTTTTCGAAACTATTGAAAAGACTTTACCAACTCAACTATTGTGCTGGTGGATTGAGTAACTCAAGGAAAGTGTTCCAGAGGGCACTCTTATTCAGGAATTTGATGATACGCTTCAAGATAGGTGAGTGAGTTCTTATTGAAATCAAATTTTGTGCATATCGCTATGGATTTGATTACACCAATTATACAGTCCACTTAATATTTGCAAATTTCCTGCACAGATTACTTCTTCAATCTATTGAAAATTGATTATTTGGACCAAGCGCCGAACACATAGTCGAAAGAATTGCGTAAATATGAGAATACCAGTCGATGATCTCATATACATAGTGCTTCGCAGACGAGCAAATAGTTCTGGCCCAAGATTACGAAGACATATGATTCGTAAGTTGATCTAAGAATGCCTTAAGTGAGGGCTGAAAGTAAATATGGTGAATTATAACAATAAAGACTGGCTTGCAAATAAGTAGCAACAATGGAAAAATGAACAGCAGTAACAAGTAAAGGCCGGCGATTAGACAACTCAGCAGAATACTGTGGGTGAATATGCACTTGAAGTTACATAAATGGATTTTTGAAAATGAGTTGCCAAAAATCTAATTTGTCCGAAATGAGAGAATACCAAGAAATTATGAGAGTTAAACACAAAATATCAGAGGACATCCAAATTAACCAACTGACATGGTATGGACACATTCAAGGAATGGATGGAAACAGGATACCAAAGAGAGTAGTGAATTGGACACTACAGGGAAGACCAAAAAGAAGGTTGGTAACAAGAAATTGGGACTAGTTATGAACCAAAAACCCTGGATCAATAGAGGGCAAATCAAAGGTTTGTCAAGCAAACGTTCAAAGGTAGTATACGATAACAGGCAGGAATCACCCAGAGCCTGTATTCTCATAAGAAATGACATTAATTATATATGTGTTAGAGAATTTATGTCACGGGACTTGACACCCATTGTCGTACAACTCGACATTGGAGGCTGCAACCGCAACATAGTAATTGCTTCAGCATACTTTCCTGGAGATGGGCTAACGACACCACCGCCGGAGGTACAAGAGCTGATCCAATATTGCAGAAGAGAGTGCCTGCCACTACTCTTAGGCTGCGACGCAAATGCACATCATGTTATCTGGGGAAGCACGGATATCAACGATAGAGGTGAGTGTTTGCTTGAATTTCTTATGACTACCGACCTTGAGGTCTTGAATGTTGGTACTATGCCTACATTCGTGACTAGAACAAGGTCGGAAGTATTAGATATAACTTTAGTCAGCACCAGTATTCGAGACCTCATCAAAAACTAGAGAGTATCAACCGAACCATCCCTGTCAGATCACAGGATAATTGAGTTGAACCTAGAGAATGTAAAATACAATAGACCCATACGAAGAGTTCCGAGAAAAACCAATTGGGAAGCCTACAAAACCAATTTACAGAACAACCTTCACTGCTTAAGTTCAGGTGGGAAAAGACACCACATGGACCTGGAGCAGGACACTAAGGAAGTCACAAAGACAATTATGGAAGCCTTTGAATTCAGTTGCCCAGTGACTACAGCGAGATCCAAAAAAAGATGCACCATGGTGGAACAGACATTTGTCAAAACTGAGATTTCAAGTCCGTCATCTTTTCAATACAGCAAAAAGTGAGAGAAATTGGCAGGGATACGCAGAAGTGCTTACTCTGTATAACAAAGAGATAAGAAAAGCCAAAAGGCAACATTTCAGAACCTTTTGTGAGGAAATTGCTGACACTCCAACGGCTGCAAGGCTACATAAGGCCATGGACAAAGGAGGAACAAATCCAGTGATGGCCCTCAAAAAGCCGGACGACACTTATACGAAAGAAGAAGAGGAGCAGGCCATCCTATTACTTCAAAAGCACTTTCCAGGTAGCGTACCAGTAGAAATAACCACGGTAGTCGACACCAGTAAACCGAAGAAGGAGGACTGGGAAGCTGCGGAACGGATGAAATGGGCAATAAGTACATTTCAACTGTTTAAGTCACCAGGAGTGGTCGGAATATTTCCTGCCCTTTTACAAAAAGGGCAAAAGGAAATATTTCCTCACCTACTTAGAATAGCTAGGACTAGTTTAGCCTCGGGATATATACCGAGTATCTGGCGACGAGCTAAAGTAACCTTCATACCCAAAATAGGAAAAAAGGATGGGGCAAACCCTAAGTCTCTACACTCACCTCTACACTCGTGCCAACATGCATACAGAGCAGGCAGATCGACAGAGACAGCGCTCTATCAACTTACAGAAATCATCAAAAAAACCCTTAAGGAAAAAGAAACAGCCATATTGTGCCTTCCTGGATATATCTGGTGCTTTTGATAACACGTCCCCTGGGGCGGTAAAAATTGCTCTAGAGAGGAGAGGAGTGAATAGAACCATAGTCCGGTGGGTCTGTGAAATGCTGACTACGGGAACAGCTGAGACAACTATGGGTGAACAAACCACAAGCATCAGAACCACTCGTGGTGCACCTCAAGGGGGAGTAACCTCACCCCTGTTGTGGAGCCTGGTAGTTAATGAACTCCTGTCCAGACTGACAAATCAGGGTCTAACTTGTATAGATTACGCCGATGATATTGTCATAATTGCCAAAGGCAAGTTTGAGGGCACACTATACGACCTCATACAAAAAGGCCTAAGTACTACCGAAGAATGGTGCACATCGGTGGGGCTGAGCATCAATTCAGCAAAAACCACTATTATACCATTTACACGTAGAAGGAAAATTCAACTCACTAGGGAAATTCACCTAAGTGGAGAGGATGTAAATCAAGCAAACGAAGTCAAATATCTGGGCGTAACACTGGATAGTAAACTTCTATGGAAAAACGCCTAGAAGCCATTGTTAACAAAGCTACTAAAGCCATTATGGTGTGCAGAAACTTGGCGGGTAAAAACTGGGGATGTACACCAAAAATACTGCGGTGGATGTACAATATGATGGTAAAACCCATAATCACATATGGGGCAGCAGTTTGGTATGGCATAGCAGAACAAAGCACTACAAGGTGGCACTTGATAAATTGCAAAGACTGGCAAGCGTATGTATTACAGGAGCCATGAGAACATGTCCAACAGCAGCGTTGAACGTCATACTTGACCTCACACCTTTGCACTTGTCGGTGAAGGGAGCTGCAGAAAGGGCTATGTTTAGACTAGCTAGGAATAGGACCGAGGCTAAGGACATCATCAATCAAGGAGCATGGTCATCCCAGACACGGTGTATTCCCTTATTCGATCTTCCTAAATACGATATAACCAAAGAATATCACTTTGAGAGAAACTTCCTCGCAAGGATTGATAATAAAAGCGATTGGGAAAGCGGCAAGATCACCGAATCTCTCAAAGAAAACACCATTAAATGGTACACAGACGGTTCGAAAACCGACAAAGGATCAGGAGCTGGAGTATTTGGGCCTTGCACCAAATATTTTGAGTCACTGGGTAAATACACCAGTATCTTCCAGGCGGAAATACACGCCATTGACAGATGTGCTCAAATGATCCTGAACAGGAACTATCTCAAGCAAGATATTGCAATATTCACCGACAGTCAATCGGCCATAATGGCACTGAGTTCATATGGCACCAGTTCTAAGATAGTATGGGATTGCCTAGGGAAACTAAATGAGGTAGGAAAGGAAAAAAAAGTCACTTTACTATGGGTGCCTGGACACACAGGAGTAGAAGGTAACGAGGAAGCCAATACCTTGGTAAAGAAAGGATCTGGTTCCCCGTTTGTAGGACCGGAGCCTTTTTGCGGTATAGGTAAAAACACTTATACAGCAGAGCTTAAGAAAATGGAAGACGACCTGAGAGCTCGCCTCTGGGACGACCTTCCAGGACTGAGACACTCTAAGATAGTCCTTGGAAAATTCAATCACAAAAAATCTAAAGCTCTAGTAAATTTAAGTAAAACTAAACTAAGAATTCTTACAGGGTTTATGACAGGGCACTGCCACCTTCGAGAACACCGCAGGAAAATGCTACTCGAGAGATCCAGTGGATGCAGGTTTTGCGGGGAGGAGGAAGAAACTCCAGAACACCTAATAACCATATGCGAAGCCGTCGCTAGAAGCCGGGCTACACATCTCGGTGACTATGTAGTTTTAGAAGGAGACATACCATCCTTGACACCGTATCAGTTACTAGCCCTCATCAAGGCCATAGGACTGGACGAAGTACTATGATTTGAGATCCACATCAAATCGGCCTCAGCAGGGGCACAATAGATCTTTAGGTCGCAGTGCAACAACACCCCAATATTAATCTAATCTAACAAGAAATTACTAGCGATATCAGAAGAAGTGAACTAAACGGGAAAATCTGGGTAGATTTAAACCAATACATAGAATGAAAATCAGAAAAATAAGTATGTAGGATATTGTTGGAAAATATGGCCAGAAGACTTCAAGTGCAAGCGATGATCGACTGTTTCAAGTATCGTCTTTTGATGTGTCGAAATTTTTTACAAATAACTCATCTTTGAAGGGAAAACTGAAGCAAAAAAAAGGCTCACTGAAGATTGCCAACATTAAAAGAGGACAAGTCGTTTCAAGAAGAATATTCAGCAATAAATTCTGAGTGCTTCCATGATGATGAAGTCGAAAACTTACGTTAAATGTTAAGATATAGAAAATTTGAGTAGGTATGAGTATTTTTTAATGTTTCAATCAGCAACCTAATTTATCTGTATACTTACATCCACAATATTATTCCCTTTAATTCCGTTTTGTTGCGAATGCAGGTCATTGTGATTGGTATTGAAAAATTCATTAAAATGATTCGAATTGAAATTATAGTTTGGTGGCTTCCCGGCTGTGATGTGTCCTTGAACAAGTGGCGTCACTATCTTATGAAAAGTTGAGGTTGTGACAGTTGGAAGAAGAGAAATATCTAATTTCGGAGGCTTGATACCTGAAAAATAATTTTAAAGAATTGAAATTTTCAAATTAAGTATAATAACTCACTTGCAAGATTTACTTCAAAACTATCGAAATTCTTATTTAAATCAAAATCAATTGAAGGTAATTTAGAGGTTTCATGAGCATTTTCCAAAGCTAAGTGCAAATTAATATCATTAAAATCATTCTGTTTGTCTTTGGGCAAATGTAAAATGTGAAGTTCCTTATTGTTTCCATCATATCCAGAGTGTTCTATTGAATCCAGTGAAGGAGTTAAGTCACTAAATTTGTTTTTATTGTAAAAATTCAACACTTCTAAAGGGTTGCCGCTACTTTTTATTTCTTCCAAAGTGTGATGATCAAGATTCTCACAATAAATATAATGATGGTTGATGAAGTATGGTCCATTTTGCAAGACGTTCAATGGTGGTGTTTTCTTTGATAAAATTCTGGGATCAAATGACGGTGTGCGATGTATTGGTGATCTTTTCACTGGTTTTGGGCGAGATTTCAGGGTGGTACTTATTTTTCCTGAAGGATGCGTTACGGAGATTGTGGTTACGTCTGGAGTAGGTACTGCCATGGTGATTAAACTAAGGATTATCTAGAACAAAAATAAATATATACATTTATGTTTTTTGCTTGTCGCTGATTTTATAGCATCAAGTTACCCTTATAATTTGAGGATTTTTTGTTCAAAAATAGGGTCGACTTAAATAGGATCGAACTTGTCAGTGCGTGTTAAAATGACAAAAGGCTGAAGTTAATTATTTAATATGAAATTTAAATGGAAACTACATTGAAATTTTTATTCTATTTTCACAATCAAACTTATTTTAATTGAAATTATATCAATGGCGCTACTAAATAAATTTGCAAAATTTAATTTTGCATTGGACTCATTGGAGCTTTGATAAATTAATATTTATAATTTTATTCTATTATACATGTTTCAATAATAAAGGTTTAAATTTGTTTCAAAAGTATAGCGCATATGCAAATTGTATTTGTGCATGATATTTTATTTTTATTAATCATTGCAGGAGGGAGATCTTGTGCTGTATGAAATTATTTCTTAGAGAGTTCCCTAAACGGCATTGCAAACAAAGTAATAGATAAATTTATTACAAACGAAAAGTTATGAAACTTCTACAAGAATGTAGAAATTCCCTATTCACTCCGCTTCGGTTAGCTAACTTATTTGATAAATTGTTAAAAAGTAGAGTATGGCAGGCTATTTTTACGGTGACAAGATAACTACAGTTGTCTTAAAAACATGTCAGTTATTCTTCTTTGACAAGCGGTAGTTATGAAAATTACTAGTAAGTGAATGAATACACTGGTTAAAATAGTCTGTTGTGTGTTTTTTCCAATTTGGTCTGTAATTTCACATTCGTCTTATCAAGGTCCTGTTGATTTAACAATTTTGTTTTTCCTGGTTGAAGCCTGTAAAGGCTCCCCTTTCAAATCAATCAATCCTGTTAGCAAGAGAGTAGTCCAAATATCACTAAGGGCCGGTTTATTCACCTTCTGATAAACTGTCATGTAATGCAATCTGACGCAGGACAAAAACGGAATCTTTAGGAATCCCATTGGTCGTCCAGCTATCCGATGATCAATATATACTGTGTGACAAAAACGCATCACCCAATAAAAGTATAAATAGGTAAAGTTTGTTTCGCCAGGGTTTGTACTTGCCACCAGCATTTGCCTTCCTTGTTTAACAAATAAAAATTGACTGAAACAAATCGATGACGTCAAAAACGTTCGTCGGTTCTTAAACCAGAAGTCATTCATTTCAATTTGTCAAAAAATTGAATGTGTCATATGAATTAGTCTACGACAACCTTTTTTTTTCAAGTTTCAAGGTCAAGTATGAACCCTGGTGAAACGGACTGTATTTGCTACCCAAATTCTGTACATTATGCTTGGGCTATTAAAGGTTAAATTTAAATTATTGAAGTAGATATATGAAAATAAAGTAACATTTAACCAATAATTGTTATTTTTTACACCATTAACATATGCAGAAAATTTGTTAAAAAATATACACTTTTAGTGAGTGATGCGTTTGAATTTATCTTGCCAACAGTAACCAGCAAGTTTACCTGGAATATAAATAAACCGGGCCTTAATAAACAAAACAAAATAATTTTATTAAAATAAAGAACAAATAATTTCACGAGCATACTTTAACATTGAATTTTACAACAATTTTGAATTTCTGTCTATAATAAATAGTGTTACTTATACGGGTTCGCAGATAAGTGAGACTACTTTTTCGAACTTATACGAAGCTTATACGGCACGAATATTTTCGAACGTGGTTATTTATTTCCTGACTCTGTAGTTTACTGCACTTGTTGTCAACGACGTAGCTATAACTTTCACATGGGGTGGGGGGGGGTTTAGAGCGGTAGTGGCCGCTCATGGTCTATGCTGGAAAGGGTTTCAATTTTAGACCAGCGACGATGTATAGGCGACCGGGCGTAGCATAGCCAGAGCTGTTTCGAGTACAGGCAAAATGTACTCGGCTACCGGGTACAAGTACTTAGCGTAGAATGTTCTTGAGTACAGAGTACAATAATTACAAGTATTCAATACCCAAGTAATCAAAGTACCGTGTACATTTATGAATACATTCTAATACCACCTTGCATTCCTACCCAATGATGACAATGATGTCATAGGTACAAGTTATTACGCAACGCCCTCTTTTAAACAGCCTTGATCTATCATGGAAATCTAATGAATCCTCATAGGCTGCAAGCGCTGGGGTAGCTGCGAACTTAGCATTGCACATGGGTTATGACGTCACCTCCCCTTTCACACTTCCGTCACATTTCCCAAAATTTATAATCAAACCGCCGGTATAGATGTTCACACATCAAAAATTGAAAAACACATTTTGGTTTACTAAATGAATTCAGCAATTTTTAAGTTTGATTTGGTTATCCAGAGTCCAGAGTTTATAAGGACTCGGTTATAACTGCACATAATATGATGTATAATTATATATTTTGAATCAGAATTAAATTATCTTCAAGATAAAATAAGATTCAATTCTTTATCTCAATTACTTTTGAAGATATTGAGACTCAAAGTCAAAACTTTGTCTCAAATTTCACAAAAGATTCAAAGCTGATTTTCTTGAAAACGAAGCCCTTGAGCTCGGAATCTCAAATCATCTTTTTCATAGCCCTTCTCAAGAGCTACAATTGGGCAAAAGATTCATGCAGATAGCTTCACTGGTTTCTAAAATATGGCCCTTTGAAACATTTGAAAATCAAATTTCGCCTTTGAAAAAATTTGAATTTTAAAATTTTTGAATTTTGCAATTTTTGACTTTACCAATCGAAAGAGGAGGTGAAAATTAGTGGAAAAGCATCTACGCAACTTTGTTTTTCGGGATTTAGGGCTTGTAAAAAAATAAAAACCGTTTTTCCACATTTTGGGCCCAGAAAATTTCAATAATCTGACATTGTCTCATAAAATCGCTCATTACTCGGTTATAACTGCACATATTATGATGTATATTATATATTTTGAATTAGAATTAAATTATCTTCAAGATAAAATAAGATTCAATTCTCTATCTTGAATACTTCTGAAGATATTGAGGCTCAAAGTCAAAACTTTGTTTCAAATTTCACAAAAGATTCAAAGCTGATTTTCTTGAAAACGAAGCCCTTGAGCTCGGAATCTCAAATAACCTTTTTTATAGCCCTTTGCAAGAGCTACAATTGGGCAAAAGATTCATGCCGATAGCTTCACTGGTTTCCAAAATATGGCTCTTTAAAATATTTGAAAAACAAATTCCCATGCATACCCCTTTAGAAAAATTTGAATTTTTAAATTATTGGATTTTGCAATTTTTGACTTTACCAATTGAAAGAGGAGGTGATAATTAGTGGAAAAGCATTAACGCAACTTTATTTTTTGGGTTTTAGAGCTTGTAAAAAAATAAAAATGATTTTTGCAATTTTTGAGCTCAGAAAATTTCAATAAATCTGACACTGTCTCAGAAAATCGCTCATTACTCGGTTATTATTGCAACAAATATGATGTAAAATAGTAAGTATATATTCTGAATCAGAATTAAATTATCTTTAAGATAGAATAAGATTCAATTCTCATCTTAAATACTTCTGGAGATATTGAGGCTCAAAGTCAAAACTTTGTCTTAAATTTCACAAAAGATTCAAAGCTGATTTTCTCGAAAATGAAGCCCTTGGGTTCTGAACCTCTTTTTATTGAGATAAAATTCAGTGAAAATTTCAGCTTTCTATCTATAATAGAAAAAAAGTTATGACCTTTCAAAGTTTTCCAAAATCTAAATCATAAGATGTGCTTTATGGGTTTGCAATTGGGTTGCTTATGACCGTGTTTGGGTTGTGCTCCAAGGTAGCTTTTGATAATTATTGTGAAAGGAAATCAGAATTTCCAAATTTATAGCCACAGACACAATGTCACAGTGCACAGAAAAGTTCAAAATTTTCGTTTGCAAATCACAACGATCAATGGAACGCATGCTAAGCATCTGATGCTAAACAAGAAATGGCTGAAAATTGGTCATATCGTAACCGTTACATAATAAGTCTGTTCCAACACAGTAGGAAACCGTACAATTTATCGTCATGTTTCTGCGCAAACTGTAAAATTTACGCGTAGAAACCGAAATTCGCTCACTGAGTGGTTTCGAAATTGTTCATGGGACAGTTTTTGACGTGTTGGAACAGACCTAATGTCAGATCTCAACTTGTCTGGGAATGTACTTGTGGCCAAATAAATATGTATTTAGTTAGAGTCCAATAATTTTACTCACCAACTGCGAATGTATTCGAAAACAATGAAAATACCCGGGTATAACAAATGTATTTAAGTAAAAAACGCATGTACGTGGGTATTTTGAAAATTACTCAGTACAATAAAAAGTGCCGGGTACCTATTTTCTATATTCTTAAGCAGTCCAAGTACGAGTACAAGTACGCGATTCAGAAAGTATCTTGGCCTGAGTACCGAGTAACTAAAAATATACTTAGAGTACAAGTGAAGAGTACTCGTACCGTACCCGAGTACCGCACAGCTCTGAAGCCCATCAGGATATCGTCAAAGGCGATTTTTTTTTTCGGGTGCCTCGCCCAAGAACGTTTATTTTTCTTCAATAAAAATATTTTTTTCAGTTCAATGTGGGGGGGAGTCGAACCCCCAAACCCCCCTTATATACGTCCTTGCTTGTACGTCAATCAGAACTGATCCTTACGCGGTGCGCACCGGGGCTTTTATAGTTATGTGCGTCCTTCTCTAACACGCTCGAATTTTCGTGATTCAGTTCATCTTGAAAATAGTCGAATTTTCTAGCTTCTTTAACTGTACTTACAGGGGGCAATCAAAATGTACGAGTGGCGGATTTATAACAATAGGTAGGTAACAAAAATAGCAAGTCTTTGAATAATTCTTAATTTTTTCTGATTCATTAATAATTATTATTATAGGACTATGTCACATTCTCTGAAGTATTTCTTATGCATTCCTTCGTGAGAAAATATTTCAAAAAAATAAAACCTGAAAAAAATAACCGCAGCCTGGTGTGTAGCCGGACGG